TACCAGCAGATAATCGAAGGGGAGCCGGGCCGGCCTATTCCCCTGAGTTTGGCAAATTTTGCCAGAATCCCTGGGGTTATGTGTTCCTGTGCTGCTGGGCGGCTGCTGCGAGACGTGCCTAGTGCAGATTGTGGTTGTGGAGGAGGCTTTTGATAACGTGTCTTTTTAGGGTGGTGATGTCTCTTGTACTGGTGCTAAGTTGTGTTGGATTTGTGTGAATCGTCGTTGTTTTCTGATGGAGGGGTTGAAGGAGTATCTCTTTTTGTGAGAGCGGTTTGGTATGTGCGCGTCTGATGCTTTGGTCATTGCGTTAAGGAGTTGTGTCTATGTTTCTTCTATTTTCCTTGTGGGTTGGTATTCGAGGTTGAGTGTGTAGCGTTGTTCGGCTAATGTGGATTTGAAAGTGTCCCAGTCTGCGTCTTGGTATTGATATTGTGGTGCAGGTGTTGGGATCAGGATGGGGTTGTTGGAGAGTTGTAGTGTAATGGGTAAGTGATCTGAACCCGACAGGCGGCCTGGTGAAATGTTGTGTTGAAATTGAAGAGCTAATGTGTTTGTGATGACTATGTCTGGGGTGCTTCTGCCACGTCCAGAGTAACATGCAGGGGAAGATATGTCTAATGTGATGAAGGTTTTTGTGTGTAACCAGTTGTGTAGTTGTTGGCCATGGGGTTGTTGTTGTGTTAGAATGTTGTGTGTCTTGCGTGAAGATCAGTCATTAATATTACTGGTAGGTGTGTGTTGTTGGAGATGGAATTCAGGTCTGTGAAGGGAATGTGAGTGTTTGGCCTTGTGTACGTTGTGCATACCAGTGTATGTCCGTGTTCAGTGTCGATCTTGGCGACCACAAAGTTATTTAAAGAAGAAATCGGCTATGAATTCGAGTTTGATGGAGGATCTGATGAGGAGTGCTACACCCTCGTAATTTTCGTGTGGTGATTGTCTGCATGTGTAGCAAAAGTGCTTGATTTTTGTGTTTGGTGTTTGTGAATGTTGAGTTGAGAAGGTGGATGTCTGGGTTGTGTGATTGTTGAAGGATAGAGATGATATGTCTGTTTGTAACAGATGCCCTACAGTTGTACTGCATTATGGTGATCATGTTTTCGTGTCTTTTACTGTCTTTGTTGGTCTGGTTGTTTTTGTCTTGTTTTTGTTTTTATTTTAAGATCGTGATCTGTTCTTGGGTGTGGGTGTTGGTGCAGGTGCAGGTGTGCAAGGTCTGTGTTGTCCTTGTAGGTGGATGTGGAGGTGATGGGAGATGGATTGAGATTAGGGAAATTGTCGGGTGACTTCATGTATGGCCTATTGCCTTATCTGTTGGTGCATTTCAACTGCTATCTCTTCTTGTCCGTGAGTGGTAAGGCGAGGCTTGTTTCCTCTTCCTTGGGTTGTTGGGTGTTACTGCTATATTTTGTGGTTTCTCTGGTAGTTTGTTAGTGGTATGGATGAAGGTTGCTGCCTGTGTGAGGTCAGGTGTGAGTGCAGCAAAGTTGGTGGAGAAGGTTGTGGGTTTGTTCGTAGCACTGGCAGTTGCTTGGATAGAGTCAGGTGTGGGTTTGGCTGGGGTGATGGAGGGGGATGTGGGATGAGTGTCCTTGGGAGGTATGTAAGTTGTGGTAGTGGTTTTAGAGGTGTTGGGGAGTCTGTGCATGGTTTTTATTACCTCGTATGGGTCTGTGTTTGTGGATGACGTCACTTTTCTTTCCTAATAGATGAATGGTTAATTTTCCTGCCACGACGATCAAACGATGTGCAGACGAGAGAGGGGGAAGAGTTTGAGCGGCAGGCAGAAGTTACTGACTCAGGGTGCAATTGGAATTTTCGCCGGCGATTTGAATGAGACTTTCTGGATACGTAACAACATAAACATGTCATATAAAATACACCTGAGGAATAATACACCAAGATTAAAAAGACCTACCATATCACTTATATGCCTCAAATCTGAACATTCATAGATATTTCCTGGAGAAATACTAATTCACTGAAAAAAAGACGTACAGGTACTTTGTTATGGAATCTGCAGCAACACTGTAACTAACTCAGCAACACAAAATGACATATACGATGATCAATAAACTCTTCTTAATTTTCCGTAAAATTATACTATTACATCACTGAATAAACTCTAGTAATCAAACTGAATTCGAAGATACTTACAACCATGCATCAAAATATATTCTCACTTCTGTAAAATTCCTCTAAATACACATTATCATTTTAACTCAAATTTAAAAAGTACTTTACTCTGTACAAATTATACCAACAAATCATAATATACACATTGGTAATTTAACTAACAAGTAACTAGCACCATAATATTTCCTTAAACTCTGAAAACCTTACATAAGCATTCACTTCCATCGAACTGCAGCAGTCATTCAATTATCTTCCATCAAATAATCAGCTGTGATTATTCAGTGGAATACACACTGAAACTATTTTGCTTACAAAAGAAAAACTGAAAAAAAACGATGTTGAAACGATGTCGTGCCTGTTACAGATTCCACAAATATTGAATTAAAATTATTACTACTTGAATACTTCCAACAAAAAATAAAAAAAATCACACTATTATTTGCAATCAATAAATCTTTATGACTCAGATCTTTACAGAAACATCATAGCATATGTTTAAATTGACCCCGCACCCCCCCAAAAAAAATAATACAATTCATAACCATTTTACATCAGCACCTGAAATTTTATGGTAATTTCAATTTATTATTTGCAATACACCCTGGGAGTGTATATGTTAGTATATTGCTGTTTTACATACACAGGAGCAGCTCACTAGAATATTACCACAGAAAATCTAAATCTAGCACTAATTATCATGATCTTTAGATCTTACAAATAACACTATTTCAGAGCTTTTTTTTTTCAATTCGTCACACCATGAATCAGTTTCAAACATAAAACATGCACAATATTCTTCAGTAGAACCATCAATAACTGTTCCATGTGCAGTAAAATTCTTTCCACTCAACTTTCCTCACACAATATGTACTAAATGATCACTTAGTGCCTAAAGTGGAGGTCTCACTAGTTAAACTGCAATTAACAGATTTGCCCCCCGAGGGGGCTAGTTTATTGGGCACCCCCTTACATCCTGTGCAAGGTGAAGCGCAGAAGCGTTTACAGCGCCCAACAGGGAAGTATGAAAAGTTCATACTTGCCTTTATGACTCGTACATTAAGGGCGTAAAAGCCTGAAGGGTCATAGGTTCTGTCAAGTTACATAAAGTGAGAGAATGATGAGTGTGTGGGGGGAAAGTTCCCGGTACATTTCATCTGTTTATGGCAAAGAGTGGCAGGTCCCTAATAATGTCAAGTGCCAGGCCTGTGACTAGGAGGAGGGATAGCTGGTCTGGGAGGGAAGAGGTGTTGGTAACGGCTGGGGACCTATAGGAGGAGGTTATAGGGCAAGTGAGGATGTAGTGAGAGAGGGTGTGAGAGTCGGGTTGGCCACAATTAAACTACAATGAAATACGGCTCCACCCAATTGTTCCTTATGCCAATAATATGGACTGAGGTTATTCCAGCACATTTCTCAACTATTTAACTATCTCCACTGAATTAAATCACCATGAACCATGGAGGTCTCGCCACTCGCCAATCTAATGGGATATTTGTTGGCACTTCACCCAACCTAGATCACTGATTAGGCCAAAGTATTGTCTATAAATTGTCACTTAGCTCTGAGGAGAACTTTGCATCTCTGCCCTCATACAAAGAACATGTCTGACTCAAACACCTATTTACTTAGCATTATAGTTATTGCACTAATCCTTATAAGCAATGCATGATTTGACTGGAGTAGGAATTAGAATTTATGAAAAGAGTGTCACCACAATCAAGTGTTCATAACTGTGAGTTCAACACTAAAACAAGTACATCCCAACAAGTGAAGTGTTAGTCATGGTGAGTAACCTACAACACTAAAAGTCAAAGTGTTAGTACTGGTAAGAGATAAATTGTCAGTTCACATTAGAAACAGTAAGAACAGCATTACTATAATCAAATAGTCTAGTTTTTCACAGTATTTTAATGGCCCATCAGCTGTTAATATATCCTGATATTATTTGTTTTGCTGTTAATGTGTTCCAGTGGTATAATTATTGTTTTGTTTATCCTTTCTTTTCCCAGCTTACATTAGCTCAACTTCTCTCTTGATACCTACCTAATACTCCTCTTGTATATATGTGTTCTATATATGCCGTACAAATACACTGTACTGTATCCACACTCCTTCTAGCAAGCCGTTGGTCTATGGAATCCATTTTCACTGTCACTGTATCGAATTCATGACCTCTATTCGCTAATATACTCTGAGAGCCCTGTACCTGTTGGTAATTTCTGTACCTACCTCCACCCTTTTAATTACTGGCATTAACCATAGCCACTGACTTGTGGTACTCGTGTGTCTTACACTATACCATATTATGCTCTAATGTCTCACTGTCTCATTCTTCTGAGGATGTTCAATAACCATTTTTTTCTCTTCCGTAACTGTACAACACAGTGTGAAAATGAAGAAGACTCAGTCAATGAAAACCGTGTTTTTGACGATAGTGATGGCTGAGCTCAACAATAACAGCAAAGTTTACTCAGAGTAAATTATATGCAGTATGTTACCAGAATTTAAAAAAGGCCATGTATGGTTTAATTTGAAAAATATACCTGAACTTATGCTGAATATTTGTCTTCCCAATATATTTAGCGGGATGTAATTAGTCTTACTGGTTTCCTTGTCCCTTAAAGTGTATGTTTAGCCACTGATATAAAAAAAAATCAGCTTATAAGCAGAGATATTAAACAATTTAAGTTTCAATAGCTACCGTAGACCCAGAAAAAATACATTGATTGATTTTCTTATTCAGAGTAACCTAAAATTTTCATTTTCATAAAGGCATATTATAGCAAATTTTCAACAACCAAAAAATTGAGGGAAAATACATTATGAATCTTTTGATGAGGTGCGTATGATGTTTGTTGCAGCCTGGCGATGGCAGACCTGCTATTCATCGTTTTCTGCGTCCCCTTCACCGCATCCGACTACATATTACCCTCATGGCCATTCGGGAGCATCTGGTGCAAGACGGTACAATATCTCACCTACGTCACCGCCTACGCCTCCGTCTACACCCTCCTACTCCTCTCCTTTGACAGGTTCCTGGCGGTGGTGCATCCTATCGCTGCCCTAAGCAGTAAGTACTGTAGTGTAGATATTGACCCATAGGTAGTGTGAACGTCGATCAGTGAGTAACGTGGATGTAGAAGAGTGAGTATTATGGATGGTGATTACTGGGAAGTGTGGACATTGGCAAATGAGTAGCATGGATTTAGAACAGTGAGTAGTGAGGACATTGACAAGTAAGAAGTGTGGACATTTAACAGTAGGAAGAGTAAGTAGGTAAACCCAAACATTCTCGAGGGTTACATTTTTGGGGAAGTGCTGCAAACGTTAAGCCTTTTGGAGAAAATAGGGTTAGGGACAACAGCAATGACAAATTAGGGGAAAATTTAAAATAAATGGGTTAAATTTATGACAAAGGACAATAAATATTCACTGTATAGTCTAATAGATAACAAAACATGAGAAAATAGAGATTTTTTTTTTTTTTTTTTTTTTTAGGTTAAGGTGGGGAATGGATGGAAGCATGCTGGGGCTCAAGGCACAGCCAGACATGAAGGATAGAGAAGTCACGACAGATAGTCGTGGGGTAAAGGTTGGAGAAGAAGTTTAATGAATTAAACAGAGGTGGACGACACCCCTTGTTTTACAAATTACAGAGTTTGTTGACAAACTAAGCTAACCTAGGATTTAAGATGAGGTTGCACAATGGTTACTTTAGTAGACAAGGACTAGATTGATTTTACAATTACAAGTTTATTAAAATCTTATACTGTATTACGTTATGGACTCACTAGATTGTGACTTGTTAAATGTGACCTTATATCATCTAAGTTTTAATCTAAGGTGGATCACTGTGGCGGACATAGATGGGTCGCGGGTTGGGTTGTTGTAGTGCGGGCAGACTCCGGGGCTACCAGGCGTGGGGTCGCCCTCCGTTGATGTCTTCCCCGCGTAGGTGGTCTGGGCTGTGAGGGTCGTCCAGCAGCTTGTCCCAAACTTTCTTCCCTAGGCGATGGAACCTGACGTTGAGGGCCTCTGTTTTATTTCTTAGGTGGATGGTTTCCACTGTCTCCTGGTAGGGTGGCGCTTGGCCACTGGCTGACCTCAAACACTTGTTTTGGAAGCTTTGTAGTTGTTGTAGTCTCGTCTTCCCGAGTGTGACGAGTGGTATATGTGGGTACTCCAACACAGGCCTCACCAGCGCCTTGTACAGGTGAACTTGTATCTTCTCAGGCATCAGTTTAAAACGTTTTAATTTGGCTGCGGCGACTTTGGCTTTATTTAGTCTGTGCTTCACGTGGGAAATGATGCCCGTCCGAGAAATGATGAGGCCGGGCAGCCTGCCTAGATTAATTTATTTTTCTTTAAATGTGAACGGATGCTATTTGCTATAATTGATTCAAGAAATTTCCCCACTACTGACGTCAAACTAATCGGCCAGTAATTTGACGCTGATGCTCTGTCTCCCTTTATGAACATGGGTACTACAGGGTTTAGGAGGGAGATAGGAAGAAACTGGTTCACAAATAGGGTGGTGGACGAGTGGAACAAGCTTAGCAACTTTGTAGTAAGTGCGGGAACTCTGGAAAGTTTCAAAAGGAGGCTAGATAGATTCATGGATGATAGAGAGTGGTAGTAACTCTCGACAGGAGCTGCCATGCACAGGCCAACCGGCCTATTGCAGACTCCTTATTTTCTTATGTTTCTTATGTTTCTTATTTGCCTGTTTCCACAAGAATAGCACAACTCCCGTGTCAAATGATTTTGTAAATAAATTTAAGAGGGCTCCGCTAATCTGTTCTTTACACTCTTTCAACAGTCGAGAGAAAATTTCATCTGGCCCTGGGGATTTTGTCTTCTTTAATTTATTTATCTTCTTAAGAACATCCTCTTTTCTGATAGTGATATTCTTTAATTTCTCTTCTTCATTTCCCCTAAATATCAGTTCCACCTCTTCTGTGAAAACTGATAAGAAGTAGCTGTTTAATGCTTTGCTTATTTTTTCGCTATCATCGATCACTTCCCCTCTCTGACTTTAAAGGTCTCACTTTGTCCTTGACCTTTGTCCTATATACATGGAAAAATCCCTTGGGATTCGCCTTGGATTCTCTTGCTATTCTGATTTCGTAGTCCCTCTTTGCCTTCCTTACATTTTTCTTAACATTCCTAGATAGTTCATTATACCTATTTCTGAGTTGCTCCTCCCCTCCCTTTAATTTCTTATAAATTCCTTTCTTTTTTCTAATGGCATGTTTATATTTTTTAGTCATCCACCTTGGCTCATTCTTATTTGACCTAATTTTTATGAATGGTATATTTTGTTTCGCAGTATACTAGTGAATATATTATTGTCATGATCAATTGTTGTGTCGCCGGTGACCTCACCCGATCCTACCGGGGACTGACCTGACTGTTCCCAGGCGACCTCACCTTGGTACCTTCTTAACCCCTCATAATCAGCCGATCGAAAGTCTGGAACTCTGACCATATTGTCATTGTTTTTCGTTTCACAATTTAGGGTGAACCTGATTTCTCTATGATCACTGTTCCCTAGTTCTTCCCCTACTGTGATATCTCTGATGATATTTTCTTTATTTGTTAATACTAGGTCTAATATATTGTCACCTCTAGCAGGTTCTGTAATTAGTTGTTTTATGTCCTGTACTGCGTCTAGGAAGTCTTCAGATTCATAGTCACGTACAATGTTGTCCCAGTCAATATTTCTGAAGTTGAAATTCCCCATAATGCACAAGTTGTTGTATTTTGTTGCCCTACTCATTTCCTGCCACATGTGCTGAGCTGCTTTTTTCCCAAGGCTTGGGGGCCTGTAAATCACTCCCATTATTAGTTTTTCTCTTCCTTCCGCAATTTCAACCCATACAGACTCGGTTCATATTTCACCCTTTATTGAATTATTAATACAACATTTTAATGTATCCGTGACGAAGAGTGCGACCCCTCCCCCCTGCCTACCTTCCCTGTCTTTGTGAAAAAGGTTGTACCCTACTATGTGATACTCTGATAAAGAGTTCTTGCTCGCTTAGAAAATACAGGACCAGCACAAACAAAAATTTAGACTAAATTATTTACAGCGACCCTAACTGGTGCCCGTGCGATTGGGGATAAAGATACGTACTGGAAAATTATTAGAAGATATTAATTGCATTCTAAAAAAACTAATACTACAGCAGGATTACATACACAAGACAATACATGACAATTTTAAACAGACACAAGAACGAGGAACTCATCTGAACAACCCCTTAATACACCCTACTTCACTGCGAAGAGGCTATAAAACATTAAAAAAATATATTACTTGCACAAACGAAAATGCCCTAAGTGCATCCGACAAATTTATAGTAATCGCTGAGGAATAGAAATACTGACTTATTCATACTACACAAGAACATGGATCAATCATAGTCTGTCTGGAATGACCCACAAAATACTATTAATCCTAACTATCTTAAATACACAGAACCCGAGGGTTGTAACTACTAACCTGCCCAGTGGTATGTACCAGCAAGAAACCGAAAAAAATCACTCATGACCCGTCAGGCAGGTGGGTGTTCCGCTTATTTCCATTACTCTAATTCTAGGTTAGGGAGTCATGAGTGCATTTCTCCACCAATACCCGTAACATGCTTCACACCTTTGTTCAGCACTACTGCCCAAATAATTTTAGAGGAACTCCCACGTCCCACATGTGCAATCAACCATATTGGCGTTGACCTCACACCGGGACTTGGCTAATTGAACCACATACACCCAATACTGGGGACATTAATGTCTCTATGTAACCACTAGAATTACAGGTCCCTGAGTGTGACCCCACATTCATTAATTCTGCACCCCGGGCCAGTTAACTGGGGAAAGGAGCGACCGTCTCTCAAGCCTAGTAAGGCCAGCTCACAGTACAACCAGGTCTGACTTTCTGCCTCATTTTACACACAATTGTAGGGTCTCAATTGTTTCTCTTACTGTGACAACACAACAAACATATATTGTTTCTCACTTCTGATCTTTTTCATTTTGTATTTGTTTATGGTTCTTTATTATTATTATTGTTATTATTATTATTATTATTATTATTATTATTATTATTATTATTATTATTATTATTATTATTATTATTATTATTATTATTATTATTATTAGCATTATTATTATTAGCATTATTATTACTATTCACCCCCCAGGCCCCGTTGTGGGTCAGTGACCTGTGCCCGGGTGGGCTAATCCCTGTAAAAAAAAAAAAAAAAAGTGGCCCACGACTGCGACGGGAGTTCTATGGAACTTTGCCGTAGCACTTTGGCTTAGCTTGGAGGGAGATGTGTGGGTTCCTGTGGTGTTGTATGCGTCTATCTGGGAAAGACTCGGAGAATGAGGTCGACCATCTCCAAGCTCTGCGGTCAGTCACGGGAGTTTTGATCAATAGAGACACCTGTTTGCTCCTCGGTCGGGTGGGTATCCACCCCGTGAGTATCCAGCTATATCTTCCAAACCGCCATCTATCTCTTCCACCACCACCACCATGTGGGGTCTTGTGACCCTGCAAAAGGAGTGCTTTATTAACTACTGTTAAATTCTTCTCCGCCCTATCTAAACACTGCTGAGATCGAATGAGTACTTACTTGCAACACGGTTGAACGCGCGTGAATGGGCGAGGCCAGACTTTTATACCGCCGACTTCATACCTGTACATAGAAACATGTATACTGACATTTCAATTGATTCAGATAGAATCTTAGTGAACAAAGAACTAGATGTACTTACAAAGATATTGCAGACATGAGATATATAACCCCTCAATTTGTCTCCCCTATAGTGAAACACCCTTACCTTGCTCATCATACTGACAAGCCTTTCCTAAGTTCTTCATCATTTTCATAAACCGTTATCTTGTCCAATACACTAATACACCCTCCTATTGCCTACCTCTCACGTATACACTAACTTTTTCCCTCCTCGCACGTATACAGCCACACCGTACCCCCTCTCAGATTGGTAATTCCCCCAACGAACCTTCCTATTACTGACACTCCTTTTTACCTTGTGTCCTCCTTACTGGCACACCATTACCTTACTCTTCAAGGTATCCCGTTGCCCCGTACATTCACATGCGATCTCCTTACCTCCTTCATGCATTGCCCCTCACACTGACACATCTTCGCCTTGACTCTCCTCAAACTAACACATCCTCTACGTGTCTCCTTTACAATGACACATCCTCACCTTATCTTCCTCGCAATGAGATGCCCTCACTTTACTCTCACATTGACACATAATCCTCCTGCCTCCCTCACATTCACAAACCTAACGTTGCCTACTTATCTGTAAACTTTGCAAACTCTCCCTTCACACTCACACACCTTATCATTGTCTATCTAATAATCATATACCCACACCTTGCCTCCCTCGCACACCCCTACATAGCCTCTCACACACTCGCACCTTACCGTTTACATTTGCCAACCATCACTCACTCCTCATATTCCCACACACTCTCCTTACCTTCCATACCCAAACACATTCTCCGTTTGACAATCACAAACAATCTTCTTGTATTTCTATTACTATACCAGTACCTCTGACATACCCTCAGCATGCTTCTCAGAGTCACACACCCTAACAATGCACACATACACCCATAGCTACCTTAACGCTCACACCTACACATCCTTTCCATGCCACTCATACTCACACACCATTCCTTTGCCCTTAACACTCACACATCCTTCCATGCCCTGAAATTCACCCCCCTTCACGTTTCTCAGCAAAGTGAAGCACCCTCACTCTGTTCCTCATTCTCACACTCTCCTTTCCCCCACACTCACACCCTTCACCCTCTACTTGCCTCTCACTATTGCGCACATCTAATTAATTACCTCACAATTAATACCCTAATCCTGCCTTTTTCTCTCTTACATACCATCTGCTTTCCCCTCTCCCTTATACAAGCTTACCTCTCCTTTCAACTTACACATTAACACTTTACCCCTGACAAACTTGCACCTTGACATTTGCACTCTCTCTCACACACCGTCCACTTGCCCCTAATATTGATATACTCTTACTTGCCTTTACTCATACATGCTGCCCTTGCTCCTTACACAACTTTACATTCTCATGATAATACACCTTCCAATTACCTACCACATGCTTAAATACCTTTGTCTAGGCCCTTACACTCACACAGTTTTCCGTTTTCCCCTCATAACTCAAACCCCAATCGCCCTCATACTCACACACCCTTTCCTTGCTCCTCATACTAATACACTCCTGTTTCTCTTGATACTCACAAACCTTCCCTTTGTTACTTATACTCACATCCCCCGCCCTGCTCCTCACATTCACTCCTTGCTTTCCACAGTCCGCACTGAGAGGAATGCCCTCTATGCTATCACCTTCAGCTGGATTCTGATATTGACGTCATGCATACCGCTGTATCTCTGTCACGGCATCAAGAAACAGAAATTCAGGGGTGATGTCTATTTCCAATGCGCCTTCCTGGACGACGAATACAATCACATGGCCTTCCATGTAAGTATCCTCCACATGCATGTGTATGTACTGTGCCCGTGTTTGTCAATATGCGTGTGCGTGTGTGTATTTTGTGATTGTCCAATTTTGTTTAAATGTCACGTCTAAGAACGAAATTTCGTTTTGACTGGTACAATTGTAAAAGATTAGACAACAAATTCGCGAATTGATATTGCATTTTGATTACTATTCATCCAAATCTATCTGGTGTTATAAGTGACTTGTAAAACCTAAAGTTGTACAAGAAAAATATACACTCCCCAAAAAGTATCGGCCCCCTGGGCATGTTGTATTTGGAAATGAACACAATAACACGTGCACAACAGTCGCGGTTCAGTTGGTATTTCTGATTGTGAGTTGCACCTTTCGTTCTTTCTTTTTGCAATTGATAAACATCATTATATCCGCAGTATACCACAATGACACTATGATTTACTGCATTTCGATATTATTTCTACC